ATATATCTCTAAACGACATAAATAGGAAAAAAGGAAATATATATGAAATAGTCATGGAACAATTAGCTGATGTGATTAAGTTGATACCATCCTGCAATTGTTTTGGCTGGCTGGAGAAAAACCAACGGAATTGGACGTCTCTGGTGGCAGGGTACACTTAAGAGACAATTAGCTTGTTCTGACATGGACCCATGAGCTAGTGCCATGATGGTGTTGCGCAGAGCATAGAAAAAAGACACTCAATATCTGCGAGTGGAAGCAATGCATCGCAAAGTCCCTTTACTAAAGGGCCACGGTGTTGATTAATTTTCAGGGAAGGGAGAACGGAAAAGGGCAAGAGGAAACAGGCAAAAGAGAGTAAGGTCAAGTAGAAAAAGGCAAACGTTAACGAAGGACAGGCTAGGAGGGTTAAAAGCCTTTAAGACGGAAAGGGCCAGATCGAGAGGTACAGGACACCGAGAGGAAAGTCCAAGCAGAAGCTAAAAGTTCTCAACTTTATTGCCTGCATGGCATCATATATTTCCCCCCTCTCCAGCTACCTCTATGGTATTTGGAGCTGGGTCCAAACCTCCCCGTTTTTTTTTCTTTTTCAGTGACAGATCAAAACAAAATCAACTTTTTTTTTTTATGCTCTATCTATTTGGATCGATAAACGACGAAATTCGGAGCACACCAGACTTCAAACTCTGATGATAAAATATCATCTCCAGACTACCCCTCATTCAGCATGAAATTGCAAGATAACAGAAGATCGAATAAAAGGCGTGTCCCAGTTTTATTAGCTGATTGGGTTCTTACCTTCCAGCTTTGAGATTTGGAGTATTTAATGTTCTTTGCTCGACTTTCTTCAGTTGATTGCCCACGGAAATGACATTGCCACGAAGTCACAAATTTTTTGCCACCGAAATGACGTTTCCTTGGATCTTAATACAGAGCCGTGCTCTTGTGATTTTACAGTAGATTCTGAGTTGGAATTTATGTTTTCTTTGAGATAGCTAAGTTTAAAATGGACAGCGTTAATCTCAATCAAATCCTACATGGCAATGAAAAATACAATTCTTCTGAAAAGAAAATTAAAATTCATCAGGGATATGAAGGTCGATGATGCCTGTCTGATTGGGTGTCGCGTATAATTCCTTCAACCTAACGAGTAAAACAAAATCTACATTTTAGGGAACACCTCCTGTGATTTCTTTTCTTTAGCTATTCATGTAATACTTATTTAAATACCATGATAAAGCATTTAATGACTGATTGCTCGAAATTTCAAGTAATTGAATGTCAAACAGATATTCATCTAATACATCTTTTTAAATAATAAAAAAATTAAACTTAAAACTTTACTATCATTCTTAATTTTTAATAATTTAATATCTCATTAATATAAAATATCTTATTCATCGTATAAAATAAAATATCAAATCATAAATCTTAAAGAGAAGCTCAATTTTAAAGAGAAGCTCAATTAATCAAGTTTTGAATTTTTTTTTAGTAACTTTTTAAAACTATTTGAAACTTTAGTAATCATTAACTTTAAAGTCAATGAGATTAGCCAAAACATGTATAAATTAATCTAAATATTCATATTAATTTAAAAAATCAAACAACGATAATGACAACTAAATTTTAAAACTTTATTTAAAATTTATTTAATCTAAAAATTTAAATTATTATGTCAAATATTAGAAGTAATTTTATATTTGCTCTTTAAAATATTATCTCTAGCCAAAGTTTTTTGAATTTAAAAATTATATAAATCCATTGTTATCTTGGTTTTTATACTGGTTTAATAAGAGAGAATAAGAGTTGTGATTTTTAAATTTCTAATAACTTAATAATTATAATATTGTTATTATGTTAAAAATTCATTTCAAATTTATTAATGTGCAACATGACATGTAGATAATGTTTACTCTTTAGAATCGAGAGAATTTCGTTGAATACATGGTGATCGCAAGCAAGGAGTAGTTGAGGAATCACATTAGCTAATTCTTCGCGATGTTTTGCTTCGCAATGAAATTATCGTGCTAGAAATTTGATCTTTCAGCTAAAAAAAATCAATTACACGGAATGAATTTTCCAGCCGTAATTCTCTGTATAGCAATAACATGTAATTTTGATGGTACAAGTTGCATTGTCATAAATCACAGTGTAGCAAGCATATCAGCTGACATCAATTGCATTTTCCAGTCCAAGCTGCGAGTTACTGTATTTATCACCATTCATTTGGAGTGGTGTTATCCCTATATATTAACTATTTAATAGCCTTTCTTTTGAGGCCGCGATTTATGTATGAATTCATAATTAGTTTAGTTAATCTCGAGCTAATGCTGTGAAAAATTCCATGTTCTCCAGATATACTAAACCCATAAAATCTCAAGTGGATCATCGGTACCAGTAAATTCTTAAACTATATACATATTTGTCAAGGTCGATTTCAAATTTGCTCAAGGGCAAGGCATCACTTGTTTTATTTATCGATGCAAAACTAAAACTTCACTGAGAGACAACTAGCCTTTCAAAGATCTGACCTCTATATAGCTAGGCCGTCCTTTTTTCTAATGAATGGTGCAAATTGCAAGCTAGGAAAAAAAAATAGATTTATTCAGAATGAGGAAAATTCACAAGACTGCAACAAGTTTGATACCTCAGATCGTACGAACTTCGTTGATTCAGACAGGATTTCCTTCTTACACACGTCCAGCACGACCAATGTCTCCAACACCGCCGCGAGATTCCCGGCCAGCCGTGGCCAAATCCCATGTTTCGACTCAACGTCCAATTAATGTACATCGATATCTCTTTCAGTCCAGCTATCCCAAGTAAAGGCGCGTGGGAGTAACAGTTTCTTCTTTATTTTCACTAACATGACGTAACAGGACAAGATTTAGAAATTTGTTTAATTGTACTTTCTTTCTATATTTCAGCTGACAGTGATCATGTAAAAAAATAAAATGACATGTGCATTACTTTCTTTTTTCTTTGAAGCTAAATAATATTTTTTTTAATTAATTTTTTTCAAGTTTATATAAATATATATATATAGTTATGATTAAAAAAATCATGAGATTTTTACATTTTGTTATCTAGGTGGGGTTTTTTAAATACTCACATAATAAGTATGTTTTTTTTTATCAAATTTTTATTTTTAAGTTGACCCATTTGATAAAATAATTATAAAATAATATGTTATAAGATAAATTAAGATGAATAATATAGATAATTTTTTTGTCTCAGGGCCGCCTGGTCTCCTGTTGACTTTCCCCGAGTTAAATAGTCTTGTAAATTAATAAATAATTTACTAATATACTGTTACGGCGAATGTAGATGAGTAATTGAATAAAAATAAAATAAAATTATATTATTGTTGAATGTGCAAATTTTATATATGTTATTTTTGAAAAGGGATTAAAAAGATATAGCCACGATCCAAAATTAAGTTTTGCTACATATTTAATTTATATAAAAAGTATTAGTAAACTATCACATCTAATAATTTTAAATTTGGTTACATGTTGAGTCAATATATATACAATCTTCACATGTAACAAACTTAATATTTTTAAGTTGAACAAACATGCAATTAAGTCTAAGTATATATAGATTTAGTAAAATATCAGATCCAACATCTTTGAACTCATACTACATGTTAGGTCAATATACTTATAGGTTTAGTAAGTTATTAAATTTGATATTCATAAATTTAATATCTTAGCAAACTCAAATATATATAAAGTTAATGATATTTTTAGACTTTTTATCTAACTATGAGACTCCATTCATTTTTTTCACAATGCTTGGTATAGAATATTAAGGACAAGACTACTAATCTTTTTACACTTTTCTGTGCACAAAAATCTTTGAAAAAACCTTCACATGTATCTCATGTCAATAATGTATAAAGAGTATTTATTCATCTTCCATGTATATTAAAGACTTTTTTTTTTAATGTTATCACCGTAAGATAATATTCTAGCCTCTCTTGTGCAAAGGTTAAAGGTTCTCTATTATCTATATATATATATTTATTTTTAGAGTATTTCTTTTTCTATTATCTATATATATTTATTTTTAGAGTATTTCTTTAAAATTTTATCATTTTTTTAAAAACTTATTTAATTATTAAAGAGTTCTTAAATTTATTAAATATGATATTTTACAGATATTAATTATTTATCAATAAGATTAATAAAAATAAAATAAATTATTAAAGTAAAAATATTAATCAAGATGGAACCTTCTTCTAGGCTTATCTTTGTAATGAAAGCGGTTTTTGAAAATGAATTGTAGCTAAATCAACCACATTAATGTATTATTGTTGTCCGCAGGTCTTACATTCGAACATCTATTTTATAACTAAATAATTAAATGGACACGTATTGATGATTGCGAGAATGATTGATAAACTACATTTAAATAGTAGTGCAAAGACCCTACTCAAGAAAAGAGGCGCGTGGGCGTGATTTTTCAACATGATGACCGACATTCGGCAGAATTCAAACTGAATTCTCTTGGCTAATGCCAAGGAGTCAATGTTAGTTTCAGTAATTTAGTTGTGAAACTTGGACAAAAATAAAGTTATCTCTCAACAAGATCAGTCTTGTTGCCAATATGCTTATACAAAATGAATTTAAAGGGGGGAAAAATCAATGGTAGTCTGCCATTTTTCTCGTCACGTGGGTCAGTGTGGGTGTGCATGAGAGAAGAAGAGGAAGAGGCTCCCTCTATCACTCCCTCCCCCTGCAGCTACTCTCTCCTCCCTTACCCCAATATAGCCGTCACTGCTTTCACTTTTATAGAACCTTCACCTACATGACAGTGCGCGCGCGCGAGAGAGAGAGAGATTTTTGAGCCTGGAATCCAAACAATCAAACCAACTCATTCCAGCCAAGTAGCAAAATTTCTTGAGAGAAGATTAAGAATTATAAGAGTGTCAAATAGAAAGTTAAAACGAGTTGGGTTTTTAAAGCTTTATGCGGGTTAATTAATTATCAGGCGAGATGTCGTTTGGCAGCTCTAGGAGAATCATGTACTCTACATCTCTGGTGGTGGTCTTGGTCATGTTTGTGTTCCAGATTTGGGTCTGCGGTGTCTCCAACTGTAAGGCAGGAGCAATAAGGTTACTTCAAGAGAATGGCATGGCAAAGTTTAAGGAGAGCGGCCATAATTTTACTGCAAATAATCACAAGAGCAAAGAAGAATACTTCAGAAAGTACTTCAATGGAAGAGGTAACACTTCTCATGGTCTCAACAAAACTGAGAAAGGATTTGAAGAGAGCAAAAGAAGAGTGCCCAGTTGTCCAGATCCTCTCCACAACTAGTTCAATTACTCATTTTTCATTTTTTTCTTCTTATTTTTTGCATTTTTGCTGAATCTTGTCCAAAATACCCACGTTTTTCTCATCGCTTTCGTGCTAGAATCTTGACTAGTGTTTGTAATTCAGGAGGGAAAAACTTGGGTATTTTGCCATGTCAAGTCCTTTTATTTTGCATGTAAGATCATAAAAATGGAGGATGATGATGTTTATAGAAGCTGAGAATTTTGTTTTATAGTGATGACACCATGGAAAAATGTGTTTTGCTTTAATCTGTCTCCATGCACAACAATTGGAATCCTTTTGAGTTCATCTTTTCTTTTAAGAAGAACTAGTTAGAGAGAAGAGTGCACGTGGTAGGCATTGTAATTACAGATATTTTTGCTTTTCACTATAGCAATCGAAAGATTTGTTTTTGCTCCTTACATCACTATCATCGAATATTGATTGTTTGCAACAGTGTCAATGAGATATCATGGAGGCTTTTATCTTTTCTTTCTGGGTAAGATGAGGTAACAACTTTATTCTGTGTTGAGTCTCCGGTTTTTGCATTTTCTGGCAAATTCTTCCCGTACTTGTCTTCTCCTCCTTTGCTAAGTTTTTCATTGACTAGTGTTGTAGTCTATTCTTCATCTTTCCCCAACAATAAATACTGATCGTCGATCACGTGCTTTGTCTGCTTTCAAAGTCCTGCCGGCATCTATTGGATTTTCCTTCACAGCAGTCGTTTGATTAAGAGATCTAAGTCGTTAAATCTATGGACTCTTGTTGCAAGTCCGAAGCGTTGACTCTCACCAGTTGACAGTTGATTAGACGAAACACTGTAAGTAAAAAAAGAGAGAGAACTCACTCTTCTTCCTATGGTGCCGTTGAGGATGGTATGGTAATTGAAGAAAGATACTTGCGTTGTAAATGTAATTTACCCGGAGAAAGATTTTGCAAACGTCAGACATGAAAATTCTAGAGGTTAACACCACAAAGATTTTATAAGATATATAGTAATTAGAGCACATGTAGTTGAATGTTAGATTGGACTTCAGCTTTCATCGATTAATTTGCTTAGTTTAGAAACTTTAAAGTATATATAGTTTTCTATTGCTACTCCCAGTTGACTTTTTGTCCCGTCGTGAAGAAGTGCACAAGGATAAGTTATTATCGACTGTAAAGTGGAAAAGAGGTGGAAATCTTTTCTTCCTTTTTTCTTAATTCCCTCTAGAAAGTTAAGGTGGAGGTAGAAAATTTACCTGGCTAATAGTTTGCGAGCTTTTCGTCAATTATTTGTGCAGTTTTTCTATACTTATGTGTGTGTATCAGATATTCGAATAATCTAAGATGGTCTGTCCCGTTCCGTTGCCAGTTAAAACACAAAAACCCTTAACTAGCAGTGGTGTTTGTCGCATCTTTAAACTAAAGCCTACCTTGTTAGGGAAACGTCTGATTTCGAAATATTTATTATTAAGTGATTTATCACTCTCTAGATACTAATTTTTCCTCCCTCACTCTCTCTTTTTCTTGGTAAAACTAGGAATAACCGGATATCAATTTATCCGGATCAATTCAACGAAATACAATTCACAATTCACAAGTCTCAATTCTTTCTCTCTTTATGCAATAAAACAGAATTGTTTAGTAAAACAGAATTAAACAATGACCAAAATTAGGAATAATCGAATATCAATTTATCCGGATTAATTTAACGAAATATAATTTATAATTCATAAGTCTCAATTCTTTTTCTCTTTTTATACAGTAAAACAGAATTAAACAATGATCAAATATAATGTAATTTTTAAATCTTTCGCTATAATACTGAACCACTTAATTTTAAAGTGGTTAGCTACCTCTCTTTTCAATAAATATGGTGATTCCATGTACGAGACCAAACACAACACTCTCTCAAATAACAATAATGGTTTAACGAAAATTGAGCTATTCAATAAGGTATAGTGTTATTAATGAAACATTTAAAGGTACTCTACTAAAAATCATAGCGTTAAATACTCTAGAATCCATTTTTTTTTCCTGTCTCCGACCTCCCACTGTCCTCTCACCTATTAATAATCAAAGCCTCAAAACTCTTGGTTATAGTTCCAAATTTTAATATGAGAGACCTCCTTCCAGTACTATTCCAGGGATATTTATTGTCTACTTTCTTTATTTTTGTATCCCAGTAAATTACGTAGGATTAATACCAATCCGGGTACCAAGTTGCGGGGGATTGATTATCCGTGTTTTAACTAGCAAATTACTTAATACAATACTAATGATGTTGCGTATGATTATTTCATGGGCATTACAATATTCTTGGACTGTAATTATAAAATAAGCATGTTCTTTGTATTTTGCGTGAACAAAGCAAAGGTGTCTTCTCTCGTTCTCTGTTAATTTTGGGTGGTGTTAGGGTGGGGATAGAGAGAGAGAGAGTTAAAAAATGCAGAGAAACCAAAGTGAGAAAGCTCCACGTATTATGCGGCGTAAGAAGTTGAAAAAGCTGCAAGTGATTCTGTAGCCGTGTTAATCTGTCTCTTTGCATTTTGGATTTGGAATCAAACTGATTCTGCCCTCTCTCAAATCCTCCCATTGAAGACAATGTAGCTTACCAAGTACCAACGCCCCTATATATTGCTTCTCAATGATAAACGCGTTGTGTATATATTATTATTCCTTTCAGGTAAATTTAATATTTTTTTTAGAGAAATTATTATCGGTGTAAAAAATATTTTAAAAAACATAACTTAATGATTTTATATTTCTTTACAACAAAAATATTTTAAAAAATCATTTCAAGCGCGTTATTAAACACTCACTAATTTTCATATGATTTTATATTACTTTACAAAAAAAATATTTTAAAAAATAATTTGAAACGCGTTATTAAACACTCACTAATTTTCATCTCCAATTTAATATTTGGCTTGATCTCTTCGTTTTCCTTTTCAATATTTTAAAGCAGTTACGAGGAAAACGTTTTCTATAAATATGCTAGTTTAAATGTGGATAGTTTGCTTAAAATTCGACTTGAAATGAAAGCGATTGTGATTTAGACTCGATATGCGAAAATTAATCCACAAATACTATGGACTATATACTCGTTGAGTGACAAGATAAGGCAAAATAGCCATTAGCTATCAAGAAGACCAATGTAGATATGCCTCCTTGTGTACAGGACATGGGAGATGGGCCGGTACAGGACTTGAGCGTGTGTCAAAAAGCCTCGAAGCTGGTCTCAATATAACCATGTTTTTAGCTTTTTTGCCAATGAACGGAATTCTCATGGTGGCAGCACTAAAGAGGTGGTTTTTCGAACACCCCCTTTCCCACCCCCCCCCCCCCCCCCCCCGGAGCAGAGCTGAAAATTCACGGGCCATCATTCAATGAGTCTAAAGTCTACTGAAGCCCAATAGGTAGGTAGCCCACTTCTTTTATTTAATTTGTTGACTCAATTAATCCCAGCACAGGCCCGCAACTGCCGCATCGCGGAGGAAGTTGTTAACCAGTAGAGCATGTTAAAAAATGATGAACAAAATAAATTAATTGGTGCATAAGCATTTGTTCAGAAAGCTCGCCAGGAACATGCGTGGGTGGTCACCGGTGTGCTAAGCCTGTTGTTTTATAATAGAATATATTCTCCTTTAGAAACAGCGTGTGAACTAGTAGTCTATTCTAAAAACCAGGAGGGTTTTCTGATAATATTACAAAATGCCCATAGTTAGGTAGCAAAGATTCCCTTCATAATATACCACCACTCAAGCATGCACACTGAAAAAGATATACAATTATTTATAGACTTGCAAGTTTGGAGACGGCTCCTATTCTGATTATGCTGATAAGATGTTCGATTGATTGTCTACAAGGGCTGCGATTCGGCAATTGCTGTTATACCTGGATCGATGGTTCCTATATGTTAGGGTCCGCGTTCAAAAGACCATCTTGCTCTCTCTTTGGACTTGCAAATACGCGGGGTTTCTACATTGCCAAAAGTTGCAAATCCAAAGCTATTAACAACTACTTTTTCGGAAGTCCCAAAGTGAATGCCTGGGCCGAAGTCCCAATCTTTATATTACGCCCAAAGCACACTGTCTTGAGACTTGGCTCCCAGGATATTCATAATTTTCACAATCCCAAATTACGTCCATCCGCTAGTAGTTAGTAAATTTTGAGATAGAGGTACTAAATTGAATAATTCGAAAATATAGGGACTTTAAAGTGTGTAAATACAATAGCTGAAGAAAATGAAAATCCTCCAGAAGGCTGCCGCCGCCTCTTGTCTCTATGGGGAACGGCCACCGAAGCCCGTAACATGAAACTAACCACGGAATCCTCAATCAACCATTTCCAGCATGTTAGAAGAGGAGATGCGTCATGGATCGAGCATTTTTCCTGTAGAAATTGGATACCATTTTCATCTGTTTCCTCATCAGCCCTTTAATTAATGATCACTTGCTTATGCGCCTTAAATTTGAGCCGACCGGTATTATGAAGTCCTTGGTAATTTTATTTTTATTATTTTTATTTTGTTTTCCTTTTGTTTTATGAGGTCGTACTAATAATATTCGTACTTTGGAAAGCAACAAAACAACGTTGGAGAAATTAATGGGATTCGCTCGCCACTTCTCCAAGTTCCAATATTTCTTGGCATATTGGCACGTGAAAGCTTAAGAAGATGAAGGATCAACGAAATTAATATTTTATTGCTACAAAAGAAAAAAAAAATCACTGGTTGACAATTAGAAACCGGGCTTTCTTAAAGAATAATTTAAACAATAAGTTAACCTCGATCATATGCGTATCAAAAGTATATTCGTGTAATTTGGTTTATGTAGTAGACGCTAATACTATGATAAATTGTGCATAAAAACTATAAACAATTTGATAATTTAAAAGGAAAAAAGACACGGAATTGCATTCTTATTTTTATATACGGTCCCGCTCGAATCCTCTATTTCAAATTAAATCAACTCAATTCGTTTTTTTTTTTTTTAATTACAGGTGGTTTGAGATCTCCC